AACGCCTCAACAAACAGGTCAAGCTTCAGTTTCAAACCAATCATCAAATAAAATAACCCTTTTAACAAACAATACCAATAAGGAATCTAATTATGTCTTATTAGGGATGGCCAGAATAAGATTGCTGGCATCAAATGGAAGACAAATTGAATGCAGAGCAGTATTGGACTCTGGCTCTCAAATCAATCTCATAACAATCCGACTGTCAAAAAAATTGGGCTGCAAGCCTAGGCCAACGCTTATGAGTATGGAAGGCGTAGGCGCAAATGAATCAAAAATATGTCATCAAACAATAATCCGAATATAATCAACGTTGAACGAATTTGTAGCAGAGACGGATGCACATATCATACCAAAAATCGTTTCAGATCAGCCAATGCAGTATTTGAATATCGAATCTTGGGATATTCCAAAGGAATTAACTCTCGCTGATCCAGATTTTAACAAACCTGGCCGAATAGATTGCCTGTTAGGAGCAGAGATCTTTTTCAAGTTACTTATTGAAGGTCAAATAAAACTAGCAGGTAGTCTTCCAACACTTCAGAATTCTATTTTTGGATGGGTATTAGCTGGCAATGTTGAAACTTCAAATTCAAGCACAGCAACTTGTGGCATATGCACTACTAAGGAACTAGAGGAATCTATATTGAAATTCTGGGAATCAGAAGAAATTCCAGATTCAACTTTGGAACTCACAGAAGACGAATTGCGTTGTGAGTCACATTTTTTGCAACACACTTTTCGAGGAAGTGATGGCAGATTTGTTGTGAAACTCCCACTAAAGAATCATCCATCAGTGTTACCAGATACAAAAGGAATCGTTTACAAGAGGTTCAAGACAATCGAGCGCCGTTTCATTCAAAATCCTGATCTAAGGAATCAATATGTTTCATTTATGAGGGAATATGAAGCATTGGGACACATGACAAAATTCAGCGGTAGCGAAATAATATCTCCCCAATATTTCATTCCTCACCACTGTGTGCTACGTCCAGACAGCTCAACATCAAAACTGCGAGTTGTATTTGACGCATCAGTACACAAATTATCAGGGCCATCACTAAATGACATAATGTTTAATGGTCCAAAAGTTCAAGAAGAACTGTTTTCGATTTTGCTCAGATTTAGAATGCACAAATATGTTTTAAAAACTGATGTGGAAAAAATGTACCGTCAAATATGGGTTAACAAAGATGATCGAAATCTGCAACTCATAATGTGGCGAGAAAATCCCACAGAATCACTTAATTATTATCAGTTGAACACAGTTACTTATGGCACAAGAGCAGCGTCATATTTAGCAACACGCTGTCTAACAAAATTGGCGGATGAATATCAAGGAAATTATTTATATGGTGCCACATCTTTAAAAAGGGATTTTTATGTTGACGACGGTCTCATAGGAGCTGATACCATCAACGAAGCGTTACTAATTCAACAACAATTAATAACAATTCTAGACAAGGCTGGAATGAAACTAAAAAAAATGGCGTGCAAACAACCCAAAACTTTTACATGGAATCAGAAGATCAAGAAGTAAATCTCAATTTTGATTCCAAGGAAACCCAATTCACAAAGACGTTGGGTCTTTTATGGTTACCAAAGTCAGATTTATTTCGTATCAAGGTTAACATTCGAGACCATAGTCACACAACAAAACGATCTATGAGCTCCGATTTGGCACACATATATGACCCCTTGGGTCTTATTGGTCCAATCTTGGTCACCGGTAAAATCTTGTTGCAAGGAGCATGGCAGCTAAAACTCGATTGGGATGATGACCTTCCGTCAGAAATACGTAAACAATGGACATCGTATAGAGAAGATCTGGCTTTGTTGGACAATGCAACAGTTGTGAGGCACGTATTTAGCAGTCAAGGCTACAGCCATGTTGAGCTGCATGCTTTTTGTGACGCCTCAGAAAAGGCTTATGGTGCAGCAGTATACAATAGAACAGTACAAAAGGATAAAACGATAAAACTTAATCTACTATGCTCCAGATCTCGTGTAGCACCCATAAAATCTCAAACAATTCCACGACTAGAATTGTGTGCAGCGTTGCTAGCAGCAGAACTCATGGCAAGAGTTAAACTTGATTTAGGCTATCAAGACAAAGCAACTTACTTTTGGACAGATTCACAAATTGTGCTTTCCTGGATAAACAATCATCCAGGCAAATTACCCGTTTACGTCGCCCACCGCATTGTAAAAATCCTTCGGTTAACAATTCCAGAACAATGGCGTCACGTCCCGTCAAAACAAAATCCGGCAGATATCCTGTCAAGAGGGCTTAAACCGCGGGAATTTTCATCATGCTACATGTGGTTATATGGTCCACTATTTTTATATAAGCTAAAGCCGCTGTGGCCAGCTCCCTTCAAAAGGGAATTAATTGTTGAAGATAACACGGTGGTGCTCGCTTTATCAACACAACAACCTACCAATGAGCATGCATGGGTCTACTCGATTCATTCAAGAAATTTATTCACACATGTCCAAAAAGTTGTTGGATATGTACTTCGTTTCACAAAAAACGCACGGAAACCAAAAAAATCAAGACCACAGACCATGCAGCTTTCACCGATGTAGCTCGACGTAGCATTTAAGGTAATAATACGTCAAATCCAGGCCTCCGATTTTTCTGATCTAAGGAAAATGCTAGTTAAGGACGAATTTGTGCCAAAAACTCATAACCTCACTTCTCTAACTCCGTTCGTGGATGAAGAAGGGGTAATACGTGTTGGCGGACGGGTAAGCTCTTCAACACTGCAATTTGATGCCATTCATCAAATGATTTTACCAAACAACGATCCACTAGTAAAGTTGTTGGTAGAAAAAATACATAAAAACAATTATCATTGTGGCGCCCAAGCATTGCTAGCGCAAGTAAGGCAGCGTTTTTGGCCCCTCAAAGGAAAAAGCTTGATGAGAGCTGTAATACAACAATGCTTAAGATGCAGAAGAGCAAGGCCAATTGTGTACAATCAAATCATGGGAAATTTGCCTGGACACCGCGTGCAACCAGCTCGACCATTTCTCAGCACTGGAGTTGATTATTGTGGCTCAATATGGGTTCATTACAAAACAAGAGGCAAGCGTCCACAAAAGGCGTATATCGCTGTCTTTTGCTGTTTTGCAACCAAGGCCGTACACTTAGAACTTGTGACTGATCTGACCACAGATGCATTCATTGGAGCATTAAAACGCTTCATAGCAAAACGAGGACGCTGTAAAACGTTATACTGCGACAATGCGACCAACTTCGTTGGAGCCAAAAACAAGTTGCAGGAACCTACTGACGTCATCTACGCTGATCGAGAGAGGGAATCAATTGCTGGAATGTGCAGTACGAAAGACATAGAATTTCACTTCATTCCACCAAGGTCACCACACTTCGACGGGTTATGGGAGGCAGCAGTAAAATCTGTCAAATATTTGCTGGTCAAAAATGTTTCAACAGCATCACTTACATATGAAGAGCTTGAAACTGTCGTTATTGAAGTTGAAACAGTGTTGAACTCGCGACCCCTTATTCCTAGCTCATCAGGTGCAAACGATTTGAACGCAATAACTCCAGGTCATTTTTTAATAGGTGAAGAAATCACTTCAAGCGTTGATGTGCATGCACGTGACTCTAAAGAAAAATTACTTAAACGCTGGCAACTGGTATCAGAGCTAAAACACAGTTTTTGGCAGCGCTGGACTTAAGGAGTATCTAAACGAATTGCAACAGCGCCACAAGTGGAAGGGTCCAATCACCAACATACAGACCAATACGATGGTAATCCTTAAAGAAGACAATGTCCCAGTTCTGCAATGGCCTTTGGGACGCATCATCAAGGTTTACAAAGGCGAAGATGGTTTAGTGAGAGTTTGTGACATTCAAACAAAAAAGGGGGTATTTAAAAGACCGGTGCATAGATTAGCTCCATTATTTCCTGAAGACGATACATTAGAAGATCCAACCTTTGGAAAAATGACTGAAAGAACAATCGAATCAGAACAGACTCAAGAAACTCCAAGGTCACCTCCCGTGTCGCTTATCGTAAAAACTCCATTAAATCGCATCAGAAAACCTGAATCATTAGTCAATGGGTTAACTCCAACAAAACGATCATGTCTGAACCCCGGGTTGCTGCTCACCATTATTACTCTACTCATTTTGCCACTTGCACTATGTAGTCCCATCAATATAACAACCTTCAACAACAAACTTGGCATTTATTTTGAGCAGCTTAAACCAGTCAAAATCATGTCTGCTGATTGGAAAATGATTGTATATTTTGACCTTTCCCCATACCAACAACAAATGAGTATTTTTGCTGATGGAACAAAAAGGTTGAACAATTTATGCGACAAGGCATTGGATAACACTGCTTGCAAGGTATTACTCAACTATTTTGACCGTATAACGGAGGAACTGCAAATGGAACTTAATCTTCTCTCTGTTAAAAAAAGAATAGCAAGAGGAGCTATAGACATTGTCGGAAATTTTGCCAATTCATTGTTTGGTGTCCTCGACTCAAACTACGCGGCACAAATGTCAAGCACAATAAATGGTCTTAAAAGGAACGACAATCACCTGGAACAACTCGTTAAAAACCAAACGTCACTTGTTGATTCAACTATCAATATCTTTAAGAAGAACCAATTAAACATGCATGACAAATTTGAAGAAATTGAAAAGCGCATCAATAACTTGTTGTATACAGCTGAGTCAATAAACGACATACACGTAACACAAAACATGCTTATGTTGTCAATGCAAATGCTCATGATGGTATCCAACCTGCAAAGCCTTCACTCATCAATTTTGGACGTACTAATCGACAGTCACCACGATAAAATAAATCCCCTTCTGCTGACTCCACAACAGCTTAGTGAGCAAATAATGATAATTAGGGCACATCTTCCATCACACCTACAGTTACCTATCCACCACAATAACTTACTCGAAGTATATAGGCTCATGAAGATCAACGGAATCCTGGCAAAGGGCCATGTCATTTTTTGCATCGACTTACCTCTCACGGATCCAAGAGAATTTCAACTGTTATATCTTGTTCCAATTGTGGCAGCTCTAAATAACACACTTTTATCAGTGAAACTTTCAACAGAATTTCTAGCCATCAGTTCGCATCATGATGAATTTCGACCAATGACACAGCATCAAGTGGACGCATGCATATCGATAAGTGACGAAGAGTTACTATGTCCAAACATACAAGCAACATTTCATGAATTGTGAAATTAACTTATTTAACAATCAAGCTGAACCAAGATGCGATATGTATCAGCTCAAGGACACAACTGTATGGTATCAACTAAATCATCCGAATCAATGGATTTACGCAACCATAAATAACATCAAAATGAATGCAGTATGCAATAAGAAAGCACTTCAATTAACTTTAGTGGGCAGTGGTTTGATTACATTAGAACCTGAATGCATAATCAAAAATGAACACATTACGATTCAAGGTCATCAAAAAATGATTACTTCAATGCAGGCATCGATCACCAGATTGAACCTATCTGTAGGATGGACAAAACAATATGCGAGCAATAACATCAGCGTCAAACCATTGTCACCCACAATTCATGAGCTTGAACTTATTCAACGAAAATTAGGCCACATCCAGAGTTCCAGTTTTCCAACTGATGCTATTAGTCCAGGGACACATAGTCTAATAACCAGATACGTTGCATTAGCAATGTTTCTATGTGTCGCTAGTGCACTATTATATATATGGCGAAGGCAAAAAATCACCCATCAAACACCTCCAATACCGATGCCACGACATCAGCAGATGACCGAGGATACAGCATGTTGACTTGCAGCTTCCAATAATTAGAATTGATGTTGTCAATTCAAGGCGGGCAGCATGTTCACACATTTAATTATTATTGTAAAATATTATTATTATTATTGTTATTATTGTACAATATTTGTAAAATTTGAACATATATGCTGATGTTAGCAATATCCAAACTTTGACTTTCCTTTGCATTATTTAATTTGGTAAAATGCAGTGGCACTGAACTTGAATATTTGCATTATATTTTTTGTTAAGTGCAGTGGCACTGAACTTTGAATATGTAACATATATCAAGGCCAGTGCATTGGCATTAATTCTTGGTTGCTAGACACAACAAAGAATTTGGTTGCATAATATATGCTGAGCTTGCACTTTAGGCAAAAAGACGGTAAAGGAAAAGAATAAAATTTAGATATTGTTATTGTAATAATTTGTAATAATTTAGTATTTAAGCAAAAATTTAATTTAATAAAATTCAGATTGAAATCAATATTCGATCTCTCACTTTCATTTCCAGAGTTTCAGTTCAAGTGCTCAAAACTCAACTTTCAATTAAAGAGTTACAGTTTAAGTGCTGTCAATTCATTTCCTTAGGTGTTAATTCATTAACAATAACCATATTCCAATTCATATCGATGTCACAAAAATTTCACACGCCAACGAAGCCAAATATCTGGGCATTACGCTCGAATCTAAGCTGCGCTGGAAAGCGCATGTTAAGAAAAAACGAAAAGAGCTTGACCTAAAACTAAACAAATTTTACCACCTCTGGCAATCCACAACAAACTAATGGTCTATAAACAAATTCTGAAGCCGGCTTGGAGTTATGGCATACAATTCTGGGGTTGTGCCAGCAAGAAATACATTGCAACTATCCAGCGCTTTCAAAATAAAGTACTACGATACATCGTAAATGCACCATATTACATTAGAAACAGTGCTCTCCACCGTGACCTTGACATACCAACAGTCGACGTCGTGGTAAAAAGGTGTGCCATTGCTCACAAACAGCGATTGAAAACACATGTCAACGTTACAGCATCCAGTCTTCTCCAGGTGGTTGCAATACCTAGACGGCTAAAAAGGAAAACAGTGGCAGACTTAATGGACAGCGAGTAGCAAAATAGCTTCATTTTTTACCTTAAATATTCAAATCAAATTGCTTATTAGTACCTTTTTTTTTTGTTATTTGTACTAGGTGCAATATTAAAACGATTTTTGTCTTATTTGAAGAATCGTTAATAAAAACAAAAAAAAAAGTGACTTGTAGTATGCTATATTCAACAGAACAAATTATGAATTCAGTAATTCTCTGTTTACTAATTACTGTAGCAATTGTTAATTACTCAATTATACCGGATACTTATTGTGTCAGTCAAATTATTAGACTATAATAATTAAATTTGAATATGCTATCAAATAAGGCTCTGGGGGGTGTTTCAGTGTTGCGACCACACAATTCCACCTAAGGCAGGTTTTTTTTTTGTGGTTCCGCTGTGTCAGGGATATGAGGTTTATAATACATACAGATCAAACTAACATCCAATTTCACAGAAACTGGAAGAAGGCCCCCTTTATACTGCACTGGTGCTATATAAAGAAACCTTAAACTTACCCTACACTATCTTCATTGGATCAAGTTAATATTTTCCAAGGAGTAAATGTTCAATTCATTGTTCTTCCACACTTTCAGCTTTACTTGCTGCAAGCATGTAAAACCTCAACTCCAATAAACAAAACAAACCACTCCCCGTACTCACAATTACTTAG